AAAAAAATAAAAGAAAAAGTACAGTAGGTGTGGTGGCACATGCCTATAAATCCTGAGAAGCTGAAGCAGAAAGATTGGGAGTTAGAGGTTATGTGGCAAAAGACCCTGTCTCAAAAAAAAAAATGATATAAAAGAAAAAAGAAAAATAAAAGAGAAAATATACCAAGTGCACAGTCTAGAAATTTAAGATAAAATTCCCTTATGAAGCAAGCAAAGTGGTACATGCTTACAATCCCAGCTATTCTGGAAGATTTCAAGTTTGAGGCAAGTTTTGAGGATATAATGAGAACCTTTCACAAAAAAGGGTTGGGATTTTAGTTCAGTAGTAGATAGTCCCAGCATTCAAGCCTCAGTACTACAAAAGAAAAAAAAAAAGTTACATTAACAGAACCAAAAGTACTTATAAAAACAAAATATTTATTTATTTATTTTTAAAAGAGAGAGAGAGAGAGAGAGAGAGGGAGAAAGAGAGAGAGAATTTTTTAATATTTATTTTTTAGTTTTTGGCGGACACAACATCTTTGTTTGTATGTGGTGCTGAGGATCGAACCTGGGCCGCACGCATGCCAGGCGAGCACACTAAGGCTTGAGCCACATCCCCAGCCCTCTTTCTTCCTTCCATAGAAGTAGTTTTACTAAGTTACTGAGCTGTCCTTGAACTTCTGATCTGCCTGCCTCAGCTTCCTGGGTCGCTGAGACAACAGTGCCACTGTGGCTGGCTCAACCTCACTTTTTGTTGTTGTTTCTAGGGGTTTGTTGTTGTTATTGTTGTTATTTTGTTTTTGTGCTGAGTATTGGGCCGCATGCATGCCAGGCGAGCGCGCTACCGCTTGAGCCACATCCCCAGCCCAAAAAAATATTTAGATATAAAAATTTTAAATTCAATCAGGCATGGTGGCACATGCCTGTAATATCAGTTACTCAGGAGACTGAGGCAGGAGGATAGCAAGTTTGAAGCCAGTCTGGGCAATTTAGAGAAACTTTGGCACATTCCTGTAATCCCAGCGGCTCAGGAGGCTGAGACAGGAGGATCTTGAGTTCAAACCCAGCCTAACAAAAGCAATGTGCTAAGCAACTCAGTGAGATCCTGTCTCTAAATAAAATACAAAATAGGGTTGGGAATGTGGCTCAGTTGTCAAGTGCCAGGTACAAAAAAAGAAAAAAAAGGGGGCTGAGGATTTAGCTCAGTAGTAGAGTGCTCCTGGGTTCAATCTCTAGCACAGCAAAAGGAAAAAAAATTAAGTTCAGATAAAAGATCCAAACTTGTGGGGTCACCTGTCTGTGTCTCTATTGATAAATTTCAAAAGGTATGGCTCAAACCAAAACCAGCAACTGCAGATCTAACTTGGAAATGCATAAACTAAATGAATCTACTTTGTATTTCTTCAATGCAA